TCCAGTTACATTGGCTCCTCTTCACAAAACACTTAGATACGACTGCACATTTTCGACCAACATCTTTGTTCTAAGGTCTCTTTAGGTTTGTTTGATTAATAGTGACCTTCATGGAACTATATGCATCTTCCATTTTTAATTTGTACCATACATGGGCACACAATAATTGTGTATTCATTTCCATGAATAAAGTAATTTTAATATTTATTTATTAATTAAATTAAAATTGAATGTTAAAAAAGTTTACATATTGTATAAGAGATACCACTTGTCACGTAAATGGACTCTTCCAACTTTTACTGTGATGGCAAACCACGAATCGTTATTTTGTAGCGGTACTTTCGTGACGCTTCCCTTAGTGTCTTACTAAATAGGAAACGTCAGTATACAAGTTTTGTTTAAGAAAATAGTAATGTAAATTAAAATTCCCCAAGAAACTAGTTTAATGCTATAAACTGTCTATTAAATAATTTTTTTGCTATGTTAAATACATTTTTGCCGATAATTAAACTTAAAATAATCAACTAGTTATTTGTAGTTATTAACAAAATTAAACTATATTCATTTTTATTCAAATAAAAGGCAGATATCGAGCACAGTTTTTATTAAATCTTGCCCAAGTACTTTCGCTCCTAGAGCATCTTCAGAGGTATCTGAAGTAAGTCAAGAAACGTTTTTTCAACTGAAAAAAATTAATTAATAAGCAAAAGTCGAAGTTCATGATTGACAAATATATATATATATATATATATATATATATATATATATATATATATATGTAATATAACGTTTTAGACTTACTTCGTCAAAATTGGGCTATTCAACAATGTATGGAGAATGTCATAGACAATAAATGATACATTAACACACCACGACACAAGGACAAAATGTTTAAAAATTAATAAAATCGACAAAGCTACATATTGAGTGGCATCAGGAGAGAGAATCGAAAAAGCACGTTCTAATTTTATAAAAATGAAAAAAGTCCTATGTGGCAAAGATTTAACATTAGCTCTTAAAGTACGCCTAACAAAATGTTAGGTATACAGTGTACTATACTATGGAATGGAATCATGGACGTTAAATTTAGACACAATGAGACGACTTAACGCCTTTGAAATGTGGACCTATAGAAGACTTATGAGAGATTCCTGGGTAGATAGAATTACAAACAATAAAGTACTGCGAAGAATAGGTAAAGAGAAGGAAGTTGAACTTACAATTAAATAAAGAAAGCTACAGTTTCTCGGACATGTAATGCGGGGCAAGAAGTATGGCATCCTGCGACTCATAATGCAAGGAAAGATAGATGGCAAAAGAAGCATTGGGAGAAGACGAATTTCATGGCTTAAGAACCTGACAGAATGGTTTGCATGCAGCTCAAAACAACTTTTTAGAGATAATGCCTCAAAAATTAAAATAGCTATGATGATTGCCAACCTCCGTAGCGGAGATGGCACTTGAAGAAAAAGAAAAAGAAGAGAGAATGGCTTCTGGTCTTAAGGAAAATGTTAAAGTGACATCTGACATATGACAACTTGGATGGACAGTCACAATAATGGTGATGTCATCTGCATATTTCAAAATTCTACGAAACTGAGCATTGACCAAAGGTTCAACTGACACTACTAAAGGAAATTAACTGGTGAAATATGAAATTATATACATTATTTTATGTAGATTGCATAATCCAGACCTCACATTAAACCTATCGGTAATTGGGGTGTTAGCTTGACGATAACTGAAGTAGACGTAGAGGAGGAATGCAAGAAATGAACTAAACAATATATTAGATAGTGGGTGGTAGACTCCGCCGTTGCCTGGTCCCAAGTCCAGGATGAGAAAGGAGGAGGGTTAAGCAAGGGACTAACTATTCCTTCTTGTAAAAAAAACATAGTTATGAAAACGAAGCACATGCCTCGGATAAGGTCAGATCTTTTAAGACGACAGAAGCGACGACAAAATACAATGAATATAGGAACCTGGAACATATCGGCCTGGAGCCCTAACTCAGGTGGTCAATGAACTTGAATCCAGAAACATGGACATAACTGCTTTACAAGAGATTAGATGGACTGGAGAAGGTACACTAAAAACTAATAAATCAGTAGTATTTTTCAGCGGAAGCGAACGAGAACATCAATTCGGAACTGGTTTTATAGTCAGGGAAAGTCTTGTGGGGTCAGTTTTAACTTTCAAACCCGTTAATCAAAGACTTTGTTATATCAGAATCAAACGACAACTACATAACTATTCCCTAGTTGCTGCCCATGCACCGACAGAGGAAAAAGAAGAGCATGTAAAAGATAACTTCTACGAGAAACTAGAGGAACTGATAAATAATTTACCTAAACAGGACATGCATATTATCTTAGGAGATTTCAGGCAAAGATTGAAAAGGAAGCAGCGTATAAACCAACAATAGGTAACCATAGTCTTCACGATGTTAGCAACGATAATGGAACAAGGCTAATAGACTTTGCAGCATCCCACAATCTACTAATAAAATCGACAATGTTTGAACACAAGAATATACACAAACAAACATGGGTCTCCAACGACGGCGTCACAAGAAATCAGATTGATCATGTTCTAGTAAATGCCAGGAGGGGTAGTAACTGTCTAGACGTAAGAAGCCTAAGAGGAGCTGATGGAGACACGGATCATTTTCTTGTAAAAGCGAAGATAAGGACAAGAATAGCGTCCAAAAAAACACACAAGAATACACCAACACAATTATGGAATAGCGAAGTTCTACGTAATAAGGAGACAGAACAGAAATTTCAAAAGGCTATAAAAATCGCTCTAGCACAAACAGAAGACTATAACAACATAGACTCAGCTTGGAAAAATATCAAAGTAGCTCTGACAAGCGTATCAGAGGAAATACTAGGACACAAAAAGAAAACAACAAAAAAAAGGTTCGATGATGATTGGCTGAACTCCATATTAGCAAGAAATATGGCTAGAAGGAACATGCTACAAAACCCCTCGCACACCAACAATGAAATGTATAGACAAAGAAGAACAGAGACAAGAAAACTAATGAAAAGGAAGAAAGAGAGTATCAGGAACAAATAATCAGAGATATAGAAGAAAAAAGAAAGAATAAACAAGAGAGGCAGTTCTTTAAAGGAGTTTCAGATATCAAGGCTGGGTACCAAGCAAGAACAGGAAACTTTTTTCAAAACGACAGTGGACAGCTTATCACTGATGACAAGGAAATCTTAAAAACCTGGAAGGAATACTTCTATCAACTATTAAATGACCAATCTAGCAGAAGTACATCAAACATAGAGGTACATACAGCTGAAATAGAAGACCAATACCCGACATACGAAGAAGTAATACAGGCAATTAAAAAACTCAAAAATAATAAGACACCAGGTAGCGATGGTATACCCGCAGAGTGCTTAAAACATGGAGGAGAAGCGTTGTACAGTTCGATATACAAGCTAATTCAAGACATTTGGCAAGAAGAAACAATGCCAGATGAATGGAAAGAAGGGGTTATTGTACCAATACACAAAAAAAGAAACAAAAAGCAATGTACTAACTACAGGGGAATAACACTCCTAAACACCACCTACAAAATCCTTGCAAATATCCTGCTAGAAAGAACCAAAACATACACAGAAGAAATCGTTGGAGATTATCAATGCGGATTTAGACCGGGCCGCTCTACAATTGACCAGATATTCACAATAAAACAGATAATGGAAAAATGCTGGGAGTTTGATCGTGAGCTTCTTCAGATGTTCATAGATTTTAAACAAGCATTTGATAGAGTATGGTATAGAGGAACGGTTACGATGTAAGGTGAGAGTTGGACAACAATACTCGGAGACATTTGAAATAAACAATGGACTAAAACAGGGAGATGCACTTTCACCACAACTCTTCAACTTAGCTCTGGAGCACATAATCAGAAGTGCAAGAATCGAAAAACCGAATACAGTATTTCATCGAGAAGGACCAAACTGGCATTTGCAGACGATATAGATCTAATAGGCGATTAAGGATGAAGGAGACTTTCGTAAGGTTTGAGAAGGAAGCACAGAAGATGGGGCTCCAAATCAACGAAAACAAGACGGAATATATGTATATGAGCCGCAATAACCAAAGCAGAGACAGAATCGGTCAGAACATTACCATCGATGACTTTAACTTTGAGTGCGTTAGAGAATTCAAGTATCTTGAAACAACAATAACTGAAGACAATAACGGATCACAAGAAATAAACAACAGGATTCAGGCCGGCAACAGATGTATTTTTGCCCTCCAAAACCTTATAAAATCAAAACAACTAACACGACGTACGAAGATACAGGTCTATAAAACAATCATACGACTTGTTGTGATGTATGGAAGCGAAACGTGGACTATAACAAAGGCAAATGAAGAGAAACTACGTGTTTGGGAAAGAAAAATCCTAAGGAAGATCTTTGGTCCGGTGCTTGATGAAGCATCAGGACAATATAGGATAAGAAATAATAAAGAGCTTGAAGAACTTTACCCAGACGCCACCATCATAAAAGAAATAAAGTCCAGAAGACTCCAATGGGTAGGACACCTCAGAAGACATTCTGACGAACGAACAGTAACACTGGTGTGGGAGGAAGTCCCAACTGGAAGGAGACCACGCGGACGCCCTCGTCTCCGGCGGCGAGATAATATAGCAGGAGACCTAAGCACTATGGGCGTGGAGAATTGGATGGAGGTTGCTCAAGACAGAAAACAGTGGAGGCTTGTTGTCGAGTCGGCTAAAACCCACGAAGGGTTGTAACGCCACGGAGTAAGTAAGTAAGGATGGTAGACTACTATAAAAGGGTCTACCAAGCACTATCAATACTGTAGAATAGAAGTAATCGAACTATGAAATTGAAATACTAAGAATTAAAAATAAAAATTGAAAGCAGAGTGTATAAGTGGGGTATAATCCTAATAGTTCAGTTAGACTCTTAGTCATTAGTCAACAAAATATACTACAAAAAGACTCCATGGAAAAGAAAATGCGAAGGCATGGGAGTACCGGTAAGACGACCTCAGCTATATGATGAACAAACTACAAGAAGAATATACCAATGCTGGTCTAGATCTAACTAATTAATAACATAAATAAGCACTACACCACTTGTTTATTCTTGATTGTTTCTATTTTTATAAAAAGTTAAAAAGGTATTAAATGTATGACAATGTTTGACTTTGAAATTAGTTGAAATTAACTAAAAATTTTAGCGTATTATAATGAGTATAAAACCCGTTTATATTCAATTGTAATAAATTTAATATTTATTTTGTTTTTAAATAAATGTTAAGCTGCTGGGATAACTCACTCGACGTATCCGTGTCGAGTTCTTTATCCTCGGTTTTGAGTTTTTTAATTGGTTTCGTCAGTTTCTTTTTTAACTTTTTATATTTCAGTTTTAGTGGTCGCTCAGATGTACATGAATGGATTTTGGATAAGAGTTTTATAAATGCTTAAGTGTCTGAGGTATATTTATTTGTAACACTGATACCATCTTCAACTCATTGAATATTTTTAATTAAATCAACTGTTTCTTTGAAGGTTAATATTTTTTTTTTGGAATCGAATAATTCTTTAATAAATTGGTTGCATTGGGGTTTTTAAAGACACTCGATATTTTTGTTTTTATTCTTTTTTGTTTCTGGGTTGGCCTTAATAATACATTGTTAGCAGCTGATTTCTTAATGGAGGGTGGTACTGCTTAAGCTATAAGGCGATTGGAGAATGATGTTGATGTATATTTCTTTGGATGTGCTAAATTCTTGGTGCTAAATGCAAGTTTTAGCCCTAAAAATAAAAGTTCTTTTTCTATTACCTTATGCGGGATGGTGGAAAATACATTAGATATAAAGAGTCTTTTACTTAGAGTAATTTACTATACATACTTGAATTTGTATATTGTTTACAGTGATGAAACCACCATTGTTTAAAAAAATTCATCTACGATTTGTTTGCTTGAGAAATAAATACAAATACGATTGTTGGTGATAATTGATGAAAAAATAATATGTTTTGGACTAGCTAGAGTGCTTATCGCTAACAATTGTTCTTCTGACTATACTGGCTGCAGCTGAGTAAGTTAAAGGTGGTTGTGAAGTAGCTTATTTATTTATCGTTATTCTTAATATATAGGTCTTAATTCTCAATCTTAAGGTTAATATTTTGTTCCAGATGTCCCTGAAGATGCGCCTGCGTTAAAAGCAGAGGTTCAGAAAATAGCTCCAGGAGCTACTTTAAGGGCTAATTGTACAACTCCCGGTTCATATCCAGCGATGAACATAACCTGGTTTCTCAACGACAAAAAGGTAAGTTAAGTAAAACTTTTAAAATATTGAAATTCGTTTTTGATATATTTTTACTGTCTTATTGACAACAAAATTATAATTAAACTTTGAGGGTATACAAGGCAACTATCGAACACGGTGATTAATTTAATCTTGCCCAAGTACTTTCGATCAATAGATCATCTTCAGGGGCATCTGAAATAAGCCAAGAAACGTTTTTTATAAAAAAAGAAAATTAATTCACTTGGATAAAAAACACCAAGTTTATGGTTGAAAAAAAATTTTATATGTGATAAACGTTTATAGACTTACTTCGTCAGTTGTGGACTATCCGACATAGTAAAATGTCATAAATGTAAAATTTGGACATAACAATACAAAATACAGTACCCTAAGACAAACAAACACTTTAAAATTTATAAGGAGAAGCTACATGTTGTATAGAAGCCGGAGACAGAATGGGCTCTCGGTCTGACGGAAATATAGATGTGACAAATGACAGCTTGTGAAGGGCAGTTATGTGATCTGCACCTTTCAAAATTCTATGACACTAAGTATTGACCAAAGGTCCAACTGACACCACTATAGGAAATCGACTGATGAAATATAAAATTATATAGTATATTTTTTATGTAGATTGAACAATCCCAAACTCACACTCAAACCTGTCTATAATAATTGGGATGTTAGTTTGAGAGCAATTGAAATTGCCATAAAGTATGAATGTGAGAAAAGACTAACAATATATTAGACAGTGGATGGTTGACTACAATAAAATGGTCCATCAAGCGTTATCAGTACTGTAAAAAAGAAAAATCTGAATATGCAGTTAAATTACTAAAAGTTAAAATCAAAATTAAAGACAAAATATATAAATGGGTTATAGTCCACGTAGTTCAGTTGAATCCACAGTCAATGGAAGAACTTTAAAATTAATATTGAAATGCTCAGTGCATGAAGTCTAAACAGTCGAGCTGGGTCCTCTACGAGGTGAAGATGTAAAAAAGTTTTTAAATATAGGATTAAATTTAGTACAATTTAAATTAGTTTGAGTATTAAGACAGTGAGAGTTTTCATTTGTTGACCTTGTAATCTCCAAATCTTCCAATAAATCCAACTCAAGATAGTTTTTCTTTTTGCTAATGCCATGTAAGATAGATTAACCAGAATTGATGTTAAAATTGTGGTTGCTGGATACTAAGTGTTGACCAAAACTTGAACAATTTGGTCTTTTCAAATGTTCAGAGACTCTAGTGGATAACTTTCTGATGGTTCTACCTACATAAGAGGCATCACAATCATCACATTTTAATTTGTAAATACCACTTTTATCAAGTGTATTCATCCTATCTTTGGTATTGATTAAGAAGGAACCTAAAGTGTTATGTGATTTAAAGGAAATTTTGATGTTATCAATTGTACAAGTAAAAAGTTTAGATATTTTATTGGAAATGCTACTAATATAAGTGAAGGAGAAATATCTGATGTTATCTGAATCATTCGGTTGGAAAAACTGTGAAGAATATGCAAGCTTTTCTGCAATTTTTAGTTTAGCTCTATTTAGAAGTTTGTATATAATGTTGGGATCATAGCCATTATTGAAAGCAATCTGCTTAAGAGTATTAAGTTCTGTATTAAATTTAAGTAATTGAATTAATTATCATCAGAAAGAGGAAATTTAAGTAACTGTTGAAAGCAGCCATTTTATGTTGAGTTGGGTGATTAGACGTTCCATGTATAACGTGATCTGTTTGGGTGGGTTTTCTATAAATGTTGTACTCTAAAGAATCTTTCTTACGGGAAATAGTCATATCCAAGAAGTTCAACTTATTGTCAGATTCTGGTTCCAGAGTAAAAGAGATGTTAGGATGGAGGTTATTAAGATCATCCAGAATCTGTAAAGCATCATCTTGGGTTCCCTGTATGAGAGCTATACAATCATCAACATATCTTGACCAAAAAACTATTTTGTTGTTGTTATTAACAAACTTCTGTTCTAAGCTATCTAAGAAAATATCAGCTAGAAAAGGTGATAATGGAGATCCCATTGCTAAACCTGTTGGTTGTTTATATATTTTTTGATTGAATTGAAAGAAGTCCTGATCCAGACAGAATTTAAGCATAGTTAATATAGCATCTTTATCCTTTGCAGATATGTTGCAATTGTCTAGAAGGTTGTGTACTAAAGGTAATGTTTCATCTCTTGGTACAGCAGTAAACAAATTGGAAACATCAAAAGAAACTAAATAAAAACCCTCTTCTATCCTAATGTTATTTAAACGTTCTATTAGATCTAAAGAATTTTTAATGGAGAACTTAGGTTTAAAATTAGTGATAGACTGTATTGTGTTGTAAATAAACTCTGATAAAATAGAAACTGGAGTGTTACAAAAACTTACTACAGGCCTTATGGGACAATTGTGTTTATGGATTTTAGGCAGTCCATATAACCTAGGTGTTATAGGATTAGATACAGTTAACTTTCTGTTGTTATATTTAGTAATAGTGTCATTAAACAATTTAACCATTGCTTTTGTTTTATTAATAAAGGTGTTAAGTGGATTTTTTTCCAAAACTACAAAACTGTTATCTGAAAGAAAAGATTCTACTTTCTCAATGTATTGAATTTGCTTTAAGATTACAACACAATTACCCTTATCAGCCTTGCTGAATACAAGATAATCTGTATCAATTTTATGTTTAATTGATTTTAGCAAATCCTTTTGTTTTTTAAAATTATGGTGATGTCTATGAAAATTGCGTTTGTACTTACCTTGTTGTTGTTGAAGTAAGCTATTGCAAGAGTTTCTCAAATATTGTTTAATATCAGCATTTTTAGTCATACCTTCTATTAGAGTATCCAGCTCCACTGCAAATCCTCCAAGCACTGAGTTATTTAACCTAAAATTCTGACAAGAAAACTTAAGGCCTAATCCTAAAAAATACAATTCATCCTCTGAAAAGTTAGTGTTACTTAAGTTTAAGACTCTAGGATGGAATTGGTGATCTGAAAACTTATGCATAGTTGTTGGGGTGCTTCTCTGTGGTTTTTGCAAAATCAAACGGTTTAGTTTGTTGGTAAGACTTCTTTTCTTGGTAGATTTTAAGCGGGCGACCTCATCTTCTATGTTGTTGAAAAAATCGTTGACAAGAAACCAAGGATTCTGTTGCAAAATTTGATCATAGGTTATTTTTAGATTGACATTAATATGATGGAGTTTGGTATAGTGCTTCTTAAGTTCTCTTTTCAGGATCTTTTTCTCCAAAATCTGTTTATCCTTATCAGGTAAAATTATAATTAGTTGGAAAAGGACTGTATGACTGCTACACATTTCTAAAATATTGATGTAGCTGGCAATAGTTGTATGTTCTCAAAAAAACCTAATCGTGTGTAAATTTTTTTTATTTAAAACGTTTAGTAGTTTTGGCAGGTAACATACCATCGTCAGAGTTTCGCCTTAAAGGTTACAAATACCTCATTGAAGAGTGATTATTGACCGAAAAAATAAGAAGCACAATGATTCTGTTTTAAAGGTAAAAACCCTTTTGTTGTAAAAATTACATATAAAAGTTTAAAAAGTTAAAAGGTGCTTGGTATAGCAATCACTGACTCGGTAAAACCAATGATTTTCCTGTATATTAGGTGTTTTTTTCTAAATAAGATTTCTCGCATATGACCGCCACAACTAATTCTAACACAGTCTAATCTGGAGGTCTAATTTTTGATGACTTTTTTCAACATTTGTGGCGGTATATTGGTAATAACGCGGCAAATGTTTTTCTCCATATGGTCATTTATTTCAGCCTTATCGACATAGTCTAACGACTTTACAAACAATTTTTACTCATGCCCGTCAAAAATCGCTCCTTTAAAGAAACCCAAAAGACCTTAAATAAGCTGAATAATCACAAAGCGCCGGGTATGGACGAGATACCACCAGAATTTCTGAAATGTGGGGAAGACGCACTACATCGCCAAATACACCAACTAATAACGCACATATGGTTAGAAAAAAGAATACCAGCACGATGAAAGTAAAACATAATAGTGCCCATACACAAAAAAGTGGACAAAACAAAATGCGCAAATTATAGAGGAATATCACTTCTAAACAAGGCATATAAAACCCTCTTAAACATCATTCTTAGTAGACTAATCCCTTATGCTGAAAATGTCCTAGGCGAATATCAAGCCGGGTTTAGGGCAAACAGATCAACAATGGATCAACTATTCACGCTGAGACAACTTCTAGAAAAGGGATGGGTGTATAACAGACCCATACACAATGTTTTCATAGACTTTGGACAGTCATATAATAGCGTAGAAAGAAGCCAAGTATGGAATGCCATGGTGGAGTTCTCAATACCAAAGAAACTCATTCAGATGACCAAAGTCTGCATGGAGGGTGGAATATCTAAAGTACGTGTAAATAATAAATTGTCTAGCAGCTTTGAAATTAACAGTGGACTTAAACAGGGTGATGCGTTATTTTCACTACTTTTTAACCTTGTATTAGAGAAAGCCATGAATTCGACCGAAATAAAAACAGAGTTGCTATCGGTTTAAGGTCCCAAGCTATTACTTGCATATGCAGATGACATAGATCTCGTTGGAGACTCCATCCTATCCACGAAAGACATTTTTAACAAGGTGCAAGGAGCAACGAGTGAAGTAGGGCTGAAGATTAATAAAGAGAAGACGAAATATATGTGTATAAATTGAACGACACGAAGAGACAGAATAAGAGAAAATGTCACGGTCAACACCTTCAATTTCGAAAGAGTGCAACGTTTAAAGTATTTGGTGGCCTTAATGACAGCTGACAACGACGTCACTAAAGAAATAAAAGACAGAATCCAATCTGCAAACCGCTGTCTATTGAATAAGCTCATAAAATCAAAAAATCTCACAAGAAGTTCAAAGATCAAAATCTATTTTTTGACGCTTTGAACGAAAAATACTTAAAACAAATTTTCGGACCTCACCATAACATCACCACAAACCAGTATCAGATCAGAATCAATATCGAATTAAAAGCACTCTACAATTGTACAAGAAATTAAATCACAGCGACTAAGATGGACAGAATACGTGCACGACTGGTAAAAACTGGTATGGGAGGAGATCTCCGGAAAATGAACATTCCATTTGACCTTTTGTTGATGGAAGTCCGAACAAATTGGAAAAAAGTTGTACAGTCAGCCAAAAGTTGTACGTGATGATGATGATGACGTGTATATGCGATATTATTTAAAAATATGTATGTATAGTCCGTCTAGAAAGTATCCGGAATTTTCTATTTTTCCTAATTTTAATCGATTTCCTTTTTGTAACATTTTAAGACAAAAGTAATGCATCATGTAGGTTGTACCAATAGTAGGTTATGGACAAAATCGCATGACAAGACCATCCGTCAAATATTGTTGTTTGTAAACAGACTTAAGATTTGTGAAATAATGTCGCAAGTAGAAAAAGAAGAGTGGTGAAATATTTGTGTAGAAAGGGTGTCCGAAACGTTAAAAAATTAGTGTAATTGACTGAACTGGGAGAAAGTGCAGTGTATGAGACAATAAAAGAATAAAAAATGGCATAGAGGTCTAGGGTTTCGAAAATTAGCGAACAGATTTGGAAATATCAAAAAGCAAGGCTACATATCAAGGAATCCAAAAAAAATCCATTCAATGACACCTCTGCAAAAGCAACGAAGAATAGATTTTTGTCAAAGTTTTCTAGAAGATAATTTTAATAATATGTTTATATCTGATGAAAGTTTTTTCCAGCTTGGTGCAAATCATCTAAAAGTCCTATCAAGAGCAAATGTTATTGTTCAAATTTCCAAATTTGCCACTAAACTAATGGTTTGAGGAGCAATATCTCAGCGTGGTGCTACACCTCTCTTTAAAGTTGATGGTACTGTTGATAGTGCGAAATATTGTGACATCCTAAATGGTTTTCTTCTTGAAACGGCTCATGTTTTATATCCAGATGGGTGACATTTTCAGCAAGGTAATGCAAGATGCTATACTTCTGCTTATACTCAAGCTTGGATGCAAGAACACGAAGTGGCAACAATTCCGTGGCCAGCAGCATCTCCAGATCTTAGCCCCATTGAAAACACATGGGGACTGATGAAGATTACAGTGGAACGAGCAGAGCCACGAGATAAAGAAAGTTTGATTCGGTCAGTTTTACAGGCATGGAACACCATTACCGAAAATTATGGCTTTGACCTAGTTTCGGGTGTACCTGGACGTTTAGTTAAGTGTTTAGATTTACATGGAGGTTGTATAAGTAAATGAGATGAATTATTTGTTGAAATTTTATATTTCAAGTGATTGAAATAAATACTGTAAAATTAAAATTCTGCTTTCTTTTTTCCGGATACTTTCTAGACGGATTATATGATTAAATTGTTAGTTTCATAATAATGCTTTGATTTATATAAATGTTTCTAAATGTTTTGTGTTTATAATAATTTTTGTGAATTGATAAATCTATGTAGTCATATTTCTGTATGGATTAAGTACAACAGAATTAGCAAAAATAAAAATAATTACAAATTATTTGCTAAACTGTTGTCATGTAAATAGTGAATATCTCTACCATCTGCACCAATCTAGAGCGAAATTAAATCCTGAATAATGGCTTTTCGTTTGCAGATGCACTCTAGTCGTTTTCGCAACGATGTTGAATTCGAAGATATCTACGACGCATCCGACAATGGCGTCGACGTCCAAATCGAGAAGTCAATCTTCCGTTTCGACGCTTTGCCGGGCCTAGAAACCACTCAGTCAACATTTTCCGTGAAAACACGTCCCGATCTATTCGACAAAGGCAAACTAAGGCTGCGCTGTTTGGCGACCTTGTTTACCCTTTACGAGGCTTCCAGAGAGGCGGAAATACAGGAGGATGCTCCTAAACTGGCGCTTGTCATGGTACACAAAGATCAAAGAAGTAAAGGTGAGTACGGTCACTTTTATATTTTATTTTTAACTTTTAATTCTGAATCAGTTTAGCTTTATCTATAAAATACGTAGATGCACTGTAAAATGACAATCGAATAAAATGGAAAACACAATATTAAAACCACATGTGAACCACTTTTAAAAGATGTTTTCATTTAATATTATTTACAAACTAAAATCCATAAATTCCTGATTCAATTTTCGGCCTTACGATCAGAAGCCGTTTGAAAATACAATTTGTTTGTTTATTTTGAAAATATGTGTCTCGACAGTTAATGGTCATTGACACATACAATTTACATTCATGTTTACATGGTTAATACTTTACATTGGGTACAAATTAATTACAATACATTTTTTATAATACATTTTGTTTTAAATTAAATTGTATACCTTTGTGTATTTTAAAAAGTTTAATACATGTTCATAGTTGCTGCTATTTGAGATAAGTATGTCTTTAAGGTTGTTATCAAGATAATATTTTCGTCTGGCCGCTAGATAGTGTTGACAGTTAAGAGATACATGTGTTACGGAAGTCGTGGTGTTGCAGTACTGGCACAAAAAATACTGGCTATGATCATATCAAAGGTTCATTATTTTATGTTTGATTGTTCTTTTTAGATCTGGCGATGTTTGAATTTCTGTTGTTACGTTAACAGAACATGCCTGTTTTGCTGCTTGATCAGCTTTCCGTTACCTGGAATAATAACGTGTGGTGGGATTTACAATATTATTACTGTAATTCCATTAGTTTGAAGACGATTACATATAATCTTAATTTCTTGAATTATTGGGTGGATAGAATGTACGTTTCTTATGTACTGCATGGAGGATAGAGACAGTCCGTACAGATTGCTATAGTGGGAGTTTTCACCGCTTGCAGTATTCCATATATTTCATCCGTATAAATACTACAATTGCTGTAGAGTCGAAACAAGTTGACGTGGTTGTAGTCGTCGTAACAGCACAGCCAACACCTTCTTCAGTCTTGATGCATCTGAGTAAATCGAAGTTGCATTGATGTAGTATTTCATAGAATCGTTATTTTATAATGGAAGGTGATGTTTCATTCTTATTATATTTAGACAACTCGATATTGAAATTTAAAAGTTTACATATCCATGAGGGAGTTTGAGGGACCGTGAAAAGGCTGGTCAGCAACAGATTGATATCTACATAAGGAATTAACATCTGTATAGTGGACGGTACCATTGTAGGATTATTAGTAATTGGTAATTGTCTATTACAGATGAGGTTTCTTGTGGGATTTGCTAAAACTCTAGCGAAATAAAGCAGCAGAAGTTGTTGTCATCTTAAAACATTCTACATAAATGCTTTTCACCGGACTTGATCGGAATGCTGCTAAACAGAGTCGAAGGGAAGTATTTTGGACTACATTTAGTGAACGTAGTAGTGATTTACTGGATGACATATAAAAAACACTACCATAGTCAAGTTTGACGTGAATAAGAGCTCGATATATTTTTAGTAGTATTTCCTTATCGGCTCTTCAACTATAGTGAGCTAGTGATTTAAGTAGATTCATTCTTTGAAGGCAGTTACCCTTAAGTTTTCGAATATGTGGTCTCCAGGTTTTTTTATCTAAAAAAATGCCGAGAAGCTTTATTTGGTCTACTACTTGGAGAAAGTATCCATTCATAGTAATGATTGAAGATTGCGTGTTTTGTCTTCTGGTAAAATGGATAACTTTGGATTTGGATGGGGAGAAGTTAGGGTCGGATTGACTAGCCCAGTGGTCTATTTTACTTGTGTGCGTGTGCGTGTTTTGTAGTAAAGTTTTGTGCTGATGTAACCTTTCCATGACAGAATATTATGTCGTCGGCATATATTCCGTATTGTACAGGGTCGTTTATGAATGAACTAAAATCGTTAATACTAAGGAGAAATAGTGTGCTACTTAGGACAGACCCTTGTGGGACACCGTTTGTGGTTGTGTGTTGTTAGGAAGTTTTGCCATTAGTAATTACTTGAAAGGATCGCTCTGTGAGATTTTTTTTCATAAACGAATATATATTACGGATAGGTTTTGGTTTAGTTTGTTTAGTATCACAGAAATCGCTATAGAGTCAAAAATGCTTTCAATTCAAGGGAGATTGCAATGACTTCATTTTTGTTAGATAGCGCAGTCGCAATTGTTGATTGCAGAAGTACAATATTGTCAATGGTGCATCGATTTGGTATAAAATCTGATTGAAATTGGTCGAAGATTTTATTTTGTTCAAGGTACCAACATAATCATTTATTAACAATTTTTCTATAAGTTTACATAATGTACAGTGTACATAATGTAGTTACATAATGTGAGAGTTATTGGCCTGTATGAGTTTGGCGAGTCTAGGAATGGATCGCCTTTTTTAATAGGAATCGTTGGGGATTGTTTCCATAGTGACGGGAATTTTTGGGAAGACCAAATGTTGTTGAACAGTACAGAGTATTTTTAGAGTATTTTCTCGTATGTATTTTGGTGAAGGTTTTTTAGAAGGTCAGTGCATACAGCTGGGCTTTTAGTCGAAAAAATGGCGTCGAAAAATATCGAAAAAAATTTTTTATAACGTAGAAATAAGTGATTTAATGTCTGGTGTGAATTTTAATGCTTCTGTGTATGGATCGCCACTACCGTAAGAGTTTTCAAGAAAAGCAACTATGTTATCTGCTAGAATTATGAATACTTTGATTTTTTAAGTTTCTTGATAGGTTAGATAATTTGAACGTTTAATTTTTTCTTGCTATGTGGTTTGGGAAACCCGGCATGGATATTAGTTTGTTCACTATGAGTAGATTCTTCAGTTATGCTAGTTCTGTCGCTAGGAGAAGAAAGTTCTAAGTGTGTGCGTTTATAGTGTGTTTGTGTATCTGTCATATGTTGACTTGATTGTTTAAATGGGGAGTTATTATTTGAGGATATAAGTAGAGTAATATTGACTGGAGGAGATATCTCTTTTGCTCTGAAAGGTACAGTGTGGGTTTATGGGCTTTTTTTAGTAGACGTAGATTCGGCTCTTAAAGGATATAAAACAATTGTCTGGTCAGAAGGGGTGACCTTAAAGCGCTTCTTGTGATTTTCATACAAGTGTGTATTATGCTTTCGTCGCGACAGCGTTCTAAAAAAGGAAGATTACAAAGTAATTTACCTCGTTAGGACCGTAGGTTTTCATATCGTCTAGGGTCTCGTAAAAATTCCTCCCCGTAGACCCACTTGTATGAAAATGACAATAAAAGCTTCAAGGTATTTAAACTTAACGAGCAGCTACCGAGAAATTAGTTCTCCTGAAACATCAAGACTAAGCAGAACTAATCTGACTTGACACTGGCAAGTGTGACCTTGCCGAAACGTCGTCAAAACAATGGTTTTTCTAAAAACCAAAACTACTTAACGCGGAGTCAAACCCGGAAAACAACTGAAATCACATTTAGCTCCCGCGGAAATTTCAAATCCAATATATATATATTATATATATATTATATATATTGTTATGATTTGGTTATATATATATATAATATATTATTATATATATATATATATATATATATATATATATATTATATATATATATATTATTGTTATGATTTGTTGTTTCTGTATGAGCTATGAGTAAATTTAAATGATATATATGTAAGTATATATATATATTATATATATATATATATATATATATATATATATATATATATATATATATATATATATTGTTATGATTTGTTGTTTCTGTATGAGCTATGAGTAAATTTAAATGATATATATGTAAGTATAGGGTTTTTATCGCGGTTTTCAAAGAATTAGTTTTGCAAGTACTTTTTTAAATTATCTTTATTATAACTATTATGAAACAAACCTATCTATCTAATATAAGTAATATCAATTTAAAACAATCTATCTAAAATTTGAAATTCTTACAATTATTAAATTATTAACAAAATTTGGTACCTTCTTTCACTGAAAGCCTAAAGTTTTTCCAAAATTAAAGTTATTATCACCACTCGATATTTTCTTACTCAGCCTTGGTTATCCAACAATTTTAATATGTTTCTTCTTAATTATCTCCACTCACTATTATATAAATTTATATCCTTGTAATTTCCATATAATGTACTTTCAAATATACTGGATCTTGTGGTTGTATTATTTAATGCTTACCTCAATAAATTAACTTCATACTATCACTATATTACTGTAGTAATAATTAATCTCAAACTGTATTTCACTTAATAATTCATTTAACTTAATCAATGCCTTCTTCTAGCTAATAATCTCTTCTTGTAACTAAATTCTTGAATTATAACTTTACTGATTCACTTTACTAACTGATTAATCAACTGTAACTAACTAACTGACTTCTAACTGATAACTGACTCTAACTGACTGACTGATCACCCTCCTCCAAATTACATGGCTTTTTATATATTTTTCATTATTTCCAGAATAATCTAGCAATAAATCAGGTTCGACTCATTCTATTTTTTTCTATCTGAAAATTCTGGAATAAATGGAATCGTGTCCTGTCTGTGATGTATTATGCAAATAGTCCCATTGACATTTCTAGAACTTTCTATTTACAATTTACTTGACTTTAGGCTCTCCAGATCAGAACTACACTATTATATGTAACTTAAACATTTATATGAAATATATTTTTACTATTCTATATCCACAATTATATTCTAAATTAACATTCCAAAAATAAATAACTTTTTGACTTTGACACTACAGTGTATGTTTGGTTGCATATGCACCTGGCTGACTCAAACATATCTAATATTAAATAAAATAAAAAAAAACCTCTTAAACTTAATTCTTATGCTAAATTCTTAAAAATACCCTCATATAATTATTTTTTAATAATATTATCTAGTATATATATAACTTACAAATTATGTCTCTAACCACTATTTAAATAAATATATTAATTAACATTGTATATCTGGTTGTATATATTTCTATGCTAATTTATTGTATTTCTGTTCTCATTATAATAT